ATTCAATTGCCTTTTGGAGCTCTTCTGGAGTTCCAACAAGATTTATGTCATCAACATAAACAGCAAGTATAACAAATTCTGATGTCATTTTCTTTATAAAAACTCATGGACAAATAACATCATTTATGTAACCCTCTTTCAGTAAATATTCACTAACGCGATTATACCACATGCGCCCAGATTGCTTTCAACTGTATAAAGATCTTTGTAATCTTATTGAATACGTTTCCCGAGATTTCGAATATGCTTCAGGCATTTTAAATCCTTTAGGGATTTTCATGTAAATCTCATTATCAAGTGACCCGTACAGATAAACTGTAACCACATCCATCATATGTATTTCAAGTCTTTCACGTAAGGCTAAACTGATGAGATATCGAAATGTTATGGCATCCATAACTGGTGAATATGTTTCTTCATAATCGACTCCAGGTCGTTGTGAGAATCCTTGTGCGACAAAGCGAGCCTTGTATATTTCAACTTCATTTTGGTCATTCCTTTTTCGCACAAAAACCCATTTATGACCAACTGGTTTTATACCAGCAGGTGTTTGGACTACTGGTCCAAAGACCTTTCTTTTAGCAAGTGCGTTAATTCTGATTGAATTGCCCCTTGCCATATTGGCCAATCAGATCTTTGTTGACATTCTTCCACAGATCGGGGTTCACAATCCTCAATATCTTGCATAATATTAAGTGCAATATTATATGCAAAAATATTATCCACCACTATTTTAGATCGATTTAAATTAATCCCATCACCAGTAGAACTTATTAAAAGTTCCTCACTCACTTGAGTCTCGGGTTCATTGATTTCTTCAGGAATCTCAGAACTAATCAGATCTTGGGTCTCTTCAGGAGATCCCTTCATAATATCATTTTGATCATTTGTCGATTTTCTTTTTCTAGGATTTTGATCCTTAGAACCCAAAGGCCTACCACGCTTCAGGCGTGCTTTAGGTTCACTAGTTCTTATGCTAGTAGATGGTCCTGCCGGGACATCAATTCGTATAAGCACATTCTCTGCAGGGATATGTGACTTAGTTATCCTTTCAAATCAGTAAATGCGTCTGGCATTTGATTTGCTATATTTTATAAATGTATGATCATCTGGACCTCCTGATTACATATATGGGTACGTGGATTAAAATGAGATAATGATGAAATTTTCCACACAATTTCTCTTTTGATTTCCTTTTTCTTTCCCCCTAATTGTGGAAAATTTGTTTCATCAAATCAACAATCTGCAAATCGAGCAGTAAATAAATCTCCCGTCAATGGTTCAAGATAGCGAATAATAGAGGGAATCCAATATATATTCCTAACCTTCTTTGGGGGCCCATCTTACTGCGTTGTGGTGGTGCTAATGGCACATATACAGCACATTCAAAAATTCGTAGATGGGCAATATTTGGTTCATGACCAAAAACTAATTGTGACGGAGAATATTTATTATAATGTGTTGGTCTGAGACGGATAAGTGATATTGCGTGCAAGATAGCATGGCCCAAACAGTAGTGGACAATTTTGTTTTCATAAGTAGTGGCCTTGTTATCAATTGCAGCCGTTTAATAAATGACTCTGCAAGGCCATTTTGAGTATGAACATAAGCTACAGGATGTTCAACTTTTATTCCAACTGATAGACAGTAATTATCAAAATCTTGAGATCAGAATTCTCCAGCATTATCAAGGCGAATAGCCTTTATAGGATAATCTGGGAATTGTGCCCTTAATCGAATTATTTGGGCTAATAACTTTGCAAACGCCAGGTTGCGAGATGATAGTAGGCAAACATGAGACCATATTGTAGATGCATCTATTAGGACCATAAAATATCTAAACAGTCCACTTTGTGGGTGAATAGGTCCACATATATCCCCATGTATACGTTCTAAAAAGGTAGGGGACTCAATGCCAACCTTCATTGGTGATGGTCTAGTGATCATCTTGCCTTGATATCAAGCATCACAAGAAAATTCATCATTTGTAAGAATCTTCAGGTTCTTTAATGGATGCCCACTCGAATTTTGAGTAATTCGTCTCATCATTATTGATCCAAGATGGCCCAAACGGCTATGCCAAAGCACAAAAGTATTTGAATCAGTAAACTTTTGGTTTACGATAGAGTGTGCCTCAACTGTACTAATCTTTGAATAATATAAGCCAGAAGATAAAGTTGGTAACTTTTCTACAATGCATTTATGGCCAGAAATATTTTTTGTAATACAAAGATATTCCACGTTCATTTCACCTATTGTCTCAACATGATACCCATTTCGGTGGATATCTATAAAACTCAACAAGTTTCTTCGGGACTTGGAGGAGAATAATGCATTGTCTATAATAAGTTATGTTCCCTCAGACAGAAATACAATAACTCTTCCGGAGCCTTCAATCAAACTTATATTACCAGAAATTGTAGAAACATTTTCTTTTTCCTTATACAAATAAGAAAAGTATTTCTGATCTTTGAATATGGCATGAGTTGTTCCACTATCAATTACACAAATATCTTCATGATTGGTCTTTGATCCAAACATAATTTGAGGATTATCCATATTCTTCAAAATGACATAAACAAAATAAATATAATAGTAAATATTATTATCAAAGCATAACTTTTATTTATGTACAATAATTATATAACCATACTATCTACTACAAACAATAAAAATTAAAATATTTACATTTCTACATATTTACTACCGATCGCATGACTTGTTTCTCCTTCTGGGAGTGCAAAATAATCAGCTACATCCAAATGCATGAAGTCTAAATTATCTTCAGAAATAAAATTTGCTTCAACATTTTTCTCTGTTTTCTTCAGGGAGGCTTGATACAGCTCAACCAGGTGCTTTGGCGTACGACATGTACGTGACCAGTGCCCTTTTCCTCCACATCTATAGCATGCATTTTCTAGCTTTGTTGCTTGTACCGTTTCATGATTTTGTTCCTTCCTTTTCCATTGCTGGTGGTGAGGAGGGTTCTTTGGTGCATTGTTATTATCACGATTAGAGTTTTCTCCCCGACCACGGCCATGACCACGACTAGGGCCACGACCTCTTCCACGCTTAGCTTGGTGGAAGTTCGTCTCATTCACTTCGGGGAATGGATAAGAACCAGTAGGTCGGCTTTCGTGATTTTTCATTAATAGCCCATTATGTTGCTCGGCTACAAGAAGATGTGAAATAAGTTCAGAATACTTTTTAAATCCCATCTCTCAATATTGTTGTTGCAGGAGCATATTCGAGGCATGAAAAATGGTGAAAGTTTCTCCAACATATCATGATCAGTAATATTATCACCACATAGTTTCAATTGGGAAATAATTCTGAACATAGCATAATTATACTCACTGATAGATTTAAAATCTTGTAGCCTTAGATGAGTCCAATCATAACGTGCCTGTGGAAGAACGACCATCTTAAAGTGGTCATATCTATCTTTCAAATTATTCCAAAGTATGACTGGATCTTTAACAGTAAGATATCCCATTTTTAGGCCTTCATCAAGGTGATGGCGTAGGAATATCATTGCTTTGGCACGGTCTTAGTTTGATGCCTGATTTTTATCTTTGATGGTGTCTGCCAAACCCATCGCATCAAGATGAATTTTGGCATCAAGCACCCAAGACATGTAGCTTTTGCCTGATATATCCAGGGCTACAAACTCAAGTTTAGAAAGATTTGACATTATTTAGAAAAAGAAAGTTCGTACCTCTATTACTTTCAAAGTATTTTCTCGAGATGGCAGAGTCTCGTGCTGATAACGTGTTATATAATAAAAACTGTAAAGTAAAGACAAGTATAGAGAGAAACTCATATATTATTCAAACTTCAAACTTATGTACATAATGAACTGAAAACTCCTCTATTTATAGAAGAAAGGAAGCAGCTGCAAGGCTTTTCTTTAGCTGCTTGTAAGTTGTCTGCATGAGCTGCTTGCAACCTGCTTGTTTAATAAGAAGCTGCTGCAAATCATTTCATTAAGCTGCTTGCAACCTGCCTGCATGAGCTGCTTGTAGATAAACTTCAACAGAGTACTAAATGAATAATCTTCTTCAGGAAGATTATTTATAGCGAAGTAATAAATGAACATCCACAATATAATTATTTTCATAACATATATCTTATATTTGCAAATCGAATAGATTAATCGTAAAAAATCTAGGTTGTATGCTCATAAATGAAGTTTACATATTAATAGCATATTTGCCCAAACTTCTAAAATCAGCTTATTTTGAGAAATGTTTTTCTCAAAAGTACTTTTCAAAAAAGTGCTTTTGGTGAGAATCAGTTTGTGTTTGGATACTTAATTTAAAAAACACTTTTGAGCAGTAATTAGTGTTTGGTCAAGCTTTTGAAAGCTGCTTCGAAGTATATTTTTCTCAAAAGTATTTCTCAGAAAAGTATTTTTTTAAAGAAACTACTTTCTCTGCTTTTAAAAAATTATTTCTGCTTCTCCTCAAAAGTATTTTTTTCCATATAAAAGCTTGGTCAAACACCTAAATTTTTATCAAAAATACTTTTAACCAAAAAAGCACTTTTGGCCCAAAAAAAATTTGACCAAACAAGCTATGAGTGTATTTTCTCAAAAATATTTATCAAAAAAATATTTTTTTTCAATCTAAAAGCTTAGCCAAACACCTCAATTTTTGGCCAAAAATTCTTTCATTAATATTGTGAAAGTAGCGCACTTGTTTCCAGAAAATTCTAACACAGAGTATAATTAAAAATCGGTGGTTTCCAACGCAAGTAGTAAACAAATTTTGCATTATGCGTATCGCCGAAATTTTATAGCTCGTCTCCACGTGTCAATCATTCTCTTAAAACCAAGCGCCACGATCGGTACACATGTTTCCGTCCAAGAAACATTACTCAAAATAGTCAAAATTTCATAACCTTACGTGTCCTTCATTTTTTGAACCCACGTTTGCCCTCTCCAAAATATAAAAGAATCAACATGTATCAACGCGGAGAATAGAATCAATTCTCTTTTTTCCAAAAACAAAATTCACAATTTTGCTAAAATGGTGAAACCTAAAGGAAATAAAGAGAAAAAAGATAACGGGGAGCGTTACAAAGGTGTAAGGATGAGGAAATGGGGAAAGTGGGTAGCAGAAGTACGGCAACCAAAGAGCCGTGAGAGAATATGGTTAGGATCATACGATACGGCGGAGGAAGCGGCGAGAGCTTACGATGCGGCGGTGGTTTGCTTACGTGGACCGTCGGCGACGATTAATTTTCCAAATAACCCTCCACTCATTCCGTCGTCAGCGGTTGATTGTGATCAACAGTTGTCGCCGTCGCAAATTCAAGTGGCGGCGTCGAGACATGCGCGTAGAGTAGTTTGTGAATCAGCTGTTGTGGATTCTAGATTACCAGCTGTGGAAACTGTGTTTTTTAGAGATAATAATTCAGAGTTTGGTTGTTCTTCTTATAATGTCGATTGCTATAATTTGGCTACGACGGATAAAACAAGTAGTGGAGATGGTGAAGTTTTGCATGATGATTTATTTGATAGTGCTAGAATGTGGACTTTCTGATAAATAAATAAAAAAAGCATTCGTGCACATGGCATTCTCACGTTATCTCCGGCAAAAGATTAATTGGTCGTATAATTGTATTTTTCCGGAACGGTTTGAAGCGTTAGAAACTAAACTCAAAGATCTTTCATTTGATAGGTAATACACCATAGATCCCGTCCCCCTCTAATTAAGACTTCTCGTATGTGCTTTTATTATTTTATTACTTGTGGAGATTGTTGGTTTCGGTTTGGAAAGGTTCGGAATAAAATCGAAACACTTAGTTCGTTGGAATAGGTCTGTTGTGTCATTTATGACTTATGTGCTAAATTTGGGGTCAATCATAGTTGGTTTGATAGATTTCGGATAGATTTCGGCATCGATTGTAGTAGTTGGAAATTTGTTAGTTTCAATAGGCTTTCACCCGGAAGAGTTTGGTTGCTTTCACAATTCGATTCGAATCGGTGATTTATATGTCACTATTAGTGGACTTTTTTATTAGTAGTAAGATTAATTAAGCACCTTCTCATCAACTTTTATTTTCAACTTTTGCTAAATTGTTGCTTATTAGGTTTATGGTTACTCTGGTATGTACTGGACTAGATATATTCATTTTAACTTGCAAGATCCAGTAAAATATTTTGCAACGTCTTGGCTAGCTAGCTACTACTTTGTAGTCACTTGTAACTGTCTTCTTTTTTCTCTACCTTTAAATTCCTTTTAATTTTCCGATGTGTCATCTCATTTTTTTTATATTATAGTATCGTTTGTTCGGGACATTTTTCCGGTAAAATTTAGGCGTTACAACGGATGGAATATTATAGTCATATTGCATGTTCTAGACGGATTGAAATATACGATCAGACATCTATAACATCATCCATATATGTTCTATATAACAACATTTCGTTATAACATTCAAAAATATTCGGAACAAACAAGATTGTTATAGAGATATCTTTGATTTTAAAGAGAAACCTCCTTTGAAACGCCATGAAAGTAATTAAATACTCAATCTCTATTATATGATATTTATAGATTTAAACTTAATAGTTTTGATCATATAGTTGAATTAAATTTTTCAAATAAAATTAATATATTTCAAAATTTCATAAGTATAAAATTACAATAATTAATACTATAAAATATTTAAAAAGTGTGTGAAAAAATTACGGTCAAAGCATAAATTTGAACATGTTTACATAAATATCTTCACATTATAAATTGAGATGAAGGGACGGAGAGCATATGAAAAAATTACAGAGGGGGTAGTTAATCGTTCTAGAGTTGATTTTGTATAGGAATAAAATTTGAAACTGAAAGTCCAAACAAAAAGCTTAGGGGCAAATTGTGAAAATAGAAGTCTAAACCAAGTTTTCACAACGATTAATGCTACTTGTCCCCAAGGAAACAAAGCATGAACACCTTGCCAAATAAACTAAAACGTATAAAGAAAAACGTGAAGGACAAAATTGAAACTAAACTTTATTGTACTCATAAAAAAGAGTTAATTACGACTAAGAATACAATAAATGAAACTAAAACGAACTATGTAACAGAAAACTCAAACTAATCTACTTGCTAGAAAACTATAATGTAGCAACATTATCAACAATTACAATAATTGTTTAAAACTAAGTCTAGCACACAGCCTCAACAATAAGTCTCTTGGCATTATTTCCACAATTTGTCGAACCAAACACACTTTCAGATGCTGGCACTGAACATTTCTCTTTTCCAACACAAGCTTTTTCAATAATAGAAACAACATCATTCTCACTTGAACAGCTACCTTTGTCAAAAGATCCACAAATTCCTTCTGTTTCACCAAAATTAGCAAAACGAATTGCAGTAATAGGACGACCATTACATGACAATTCCATAGTTTTATTCTCATATGCACTTCCACAAGCTGTTCCAACTTGAACTGTTTGGAAATTTACAAGTGATGGATTTCCACCAAATTCTTCAAACAAAACCAATGTATTTTCGTCGCTTTTCAAGAACGAACGAGGAACATGGTACCTATAATAAATGGTAAGTAACGTATTATTATAGTGCACAGAACTTAATTTCTGATATAATTATTTATGATGAAAAGGCAAGTAAAGAAATTACCATCTTTGAGTAGGTTCACCACAACCAGAAGCACATTTATCAGGACCATATTTACCACGATAATCACACAAATCAGTAGAGCAACCTTCCTCTTCTGCCAAATAACTTGGCCAATAACGACCTATACTTTCACCATTAATCCATGCATGTCCCTTGCCCAAACCTTGCAAGTCTACAACAACTGGATCATTCCCTAGTGGAGCTTTGAATGTTGTCTAATCCCAAAAAAAAAAATTAAAAAAAATTATGTCAACAAAATTAAATATACAAGAACCGTCAAACCTCTCTATAAAGGTATCATTTATTTTTCAATTTTAGAAGAATTAACCCAAATAGCCGCCCATCCAACCGATTAAACTAAAAAAAGTCAGTGGAGGTATAATATATCATAACTTATGTATTATATGTGTTTAAATGTGTATAATCAATGTATAATCTATGTATATGGCTAGAAAAAGTAAATAATGAATATAGATAGTTATTTGTGTAAAGACCCCTTTGGCTTGGCTGATATAGCAAAATGTTGTTATAGAAATTATATAATATAACATAACATGAATATCAGTTCCAATATTTTACCATTATAATGAAATGTTATTATTTAGGGTGATTGTTATAGAGAGGTTTGACTGTACATGTTAAAAAAAATAAATGAGGAAGAGGTAAAGATAAGATTTTGCAATGTTACCTTGTACCAAGTCATCATTCTATTGATTGGAACATCTTGAGAGAACCATTGTCCATTCTCAAACTTAGGGTTTCCAGAAAACAACTTATTGTTAATACCATTCAAATCTACCTTATAAGACCATTTGTGAGAAGACAAGTCCTTAATCACACTCTCATCTCCATTCTTTCCAATTATTTCAACTGGACCAGGAATTCCACTTTGAACTGTATCAAAGTGAGCTCCATAATTCTGTTAATTTACCACAAAAAAATATTGTGAACATTAAAAACATTCATTTTTGTTAAGAATATTATACAAAAATAAATATATATACCTGTAATCCAATAGTAGCACTAAGCAATGATATATGATTCCTGCCAGGATTCAATTTAACCTGCTTCTCAAAAACATAGTTGAATATTCCATATGTTGCCCATTGAGAACCTACATAATATTTTTCATAAAAATCAATAGTAAGACTTACCAAAGACCAAAAAAAAAAAACAGACACAATTCTTAATTTCTTACCAAGATATTGGCCATTGACATAAGCATGAAGAATGTGGCCACTGCCATTAACTCGAAGGGTCATATTATCACTCCAGATTGGATCATTCTTGCCAATATAGACACTATTTCATATTTTCAGTATAGCATGTTAGTTTGGCCATATAGATAATATCATATAAATTGAGACAAAGCGAGTAGCTAATATATATATATATATATATAATTAAAGTGTCCAAATATAGAAACTTACTTAGTCATGTACCACATGTAATCACTAACATCATTAGCAACTTTTTGATCAACCAATTCATGAGCAGAAGATTGTCCTCTTCCAAGAACCACAGCTTCATCTACCTTCTCAGGCCTCCATGACCATTGGAGAGAAGCTGGTTCATTTTCAGCATCATTTGATTTCTTCACCATAACTGAAGTTTGAGTATTGACCTATACCCAAAATAAATTAAGTTAATGATAAAAAATCGAAATAATTTAATTAGCAAGATGGAGTATTGACCTATACCCAAAATAAATTAAGTTAATGATAAAAAATCGAAATAATTTAATTAGCAAGATGGAGTATTGACCTATACCCAAAATAAATTAAGTTAATGATAAAAAATCGAAATAATTTAATTAGCAAGATGGAGTATTGACCTATACCCAAAATAAATTAAGTTAATGATAAAAAATCGAAATAATTTAATTAGCAAGATGGAGTATTGACCTATACCCAAAATAAATTAAGTTAATGATAAAAAATCGAAATAATTTAATTAGCAAGATGGAGTATTGACCTATACCCAAAATAAATTAAGTTAATGATAATCAAAGTTTTTTTTTTGGTATTCTTTACCAAAATAGCCGGTCAAAATTTACTGTTTACTTTTGTAACCAGTATACAGTCAAACCTCTCTATAACATCCTCATTTGTTCCAAATTTTTTTGGTTGTTATAGCGAAGTGTTGTTATAGAAAATATATATAATAACATAGCATAAACATTTGTTCCATTTAAACTCGGCTTTTATAGTGAATGACTGTTATATAGCGTTGTTGTTATAGAGAGGTCTGACTGTACATAGCTAATAAACTGATTATATTACCTTGGCTGTGTTGTAAACTTCAGTCTTGCAATCTGGAAGAATACTAACAGACCAAGCTGGCACATTGTATTGAACACCTTGATAAGTAATGGTTGCATCTGTCGTCTCATTAGCGTTGCTAAAGAAGCAACTTGATTGTCCATCCAAAGCATAAATAGTGACCTATAATTGCATTTAAAAAATTTTATAAAAAAAAATATAAATTTTTTTTAATCTAGAAATAGGAAATATTGATAACATGATTTATTAATATACCGCAACAGAATTTCCAAGATCAGAGTTGGTAATATTGCCACTGGTAAGAGTTTTCTCCATTGAATGTAACACATCATGAAGTTCCTTTAAATGACCATATTTTGGCTGTGCCAAATTTCCTTCAAAATATAAACACAATGCAATTAATTTAACAACACATTAATATTTAAAAAAATAATAAAAAAATAAAAAAAGAACAGACCGGTGTACAAACAATGTTGTATCGGAGAAATTAAACAACTTACCAAATTCATCAAGTGGTGCATTGTAATCGTATGTTGTTGTAATATATGGACCACCAGATGTTCTACCAAAATTTGTCCCACCATGGTACTGAAATATTAGTTTTAAAACAAATTAACTATTGCTATTGTAACAAATCGAATTAATGCAAAATATAAAAGAACCAATATATAATGAAAAGTAAAATAACTAAGAAAATATTAAGAAGAAGACTAACCATATAATAGTTTTGGAATGTGCCACCTGTTTGGAAAAATCGTGCAACAGAAAAAGCAACATCCTCAGCTGTTCTTAAAGGATCTTTGCCACCCCAATTCTTGAACCTTTAAAAACATAGTCAATTGTGAATATTAGTACTTTATTAAATAGCATGCTGATTGAACTATTTACAAAAATAATCAAATCTACGAAATAAAAAAAAAACATACCATCCAGTCCAATTTTCAGTCCACATCTTTGGGGTATTCGGATTGCTTGGTGTAAAATCATCGCAGTACCAACCATTGCATGTGTTTATCTAGAAACAAACATTATTTTATTACATCAAAACATTAAAAGAAAGCAAGAAAATAGTTGTCAGGTGCATGAAGTATATCGCATTCACGCACAGAGTCCAAGAAAGAGCCGAACCCTAATGGAATTAGACACAGATAACCAATCGTGATGCAAGCACCCATGGCTAATTTCACAATATGACCCCGTGAAGTATAGAGAAAAAAGCATCTCGTTTCACACAGATCTAGGGGAGGGCCAAACCCCAATGGGGTTTGACACAGAAAATCAACTGTGATGCAAGCACCAATGGCTAATTCCACAATATGAACCCGTGAAGTATAGAGAAAAGCATCTCGCTTCACACGGATCTAGGGGAGGGCCGAAGCCCAATGGGGTTTGACACAGACACTCAACCATGATGCAAGCACCAATGGCTAATTCCACAATATAACCCGTGAAGTATAGAGAGAAAAGTATCTCGCTTCACACATATTTAGAGGAGGGCCGAACACCAATGGGATTTGACACAGACAACCTACTCTGATCAAAGCACCAATGGGTGATTCTACAATCTGAACCCGTAAACTATAGAGAGAAAAATATATCGCATTCACGCAAAGTTAATGGAAAGGTCAAACTCCAATGGAATTTGATGTATTGATTCCACAATTCAAACTCGTGAAGTATAGAGAGAAAATTACCATGGATTGGGGAGCATCAGGTTGTTGGCACATGATCCAAGGAACTCCAATATCAAGTGATCGAGCAAAATTAGCACACCAATCAACATAAGCTTTTCCAGCATCTCCATAAGATGTTTGTACGTTTCCATATTCATTCTCAATTTGTGCTAGAATTATTGGACCTCCTTGAGATGCAAATAGCTTCTCTTGTTTCACCATATCAACTATTAACTGAGTAAAATTTTGCATCTCGTTCTGTAATAACACCATAACATTTATTTTATGTTAGATATATATTCAGGCTACAACCAAAATTTACACGGAGTAATTTAATTTAATAATACTTTACCATATAAACTTGGTTGGCTGTTCGGAGCTCAATTCCAGGCATATTGTGTAACCATACTGGAAATCCTCTGAATAAATATTTACAATTTTGTTATAAGTCAATTAAAAAGAATAGTAGATTAAAAAGAAATTACGTACTATATTATATTGAGAGGAATTTATTACCCATAATTCCATTCAGCACAAACATAAGGTCCAATACGAAGAACAGCATAAAGTCCTTCATCTTGAATTGTTTTCAAAAATCTTGTGAGATCTAAATTCCCAGAAAAATCATATTGGCGACGAAGTGGCTCGTGTGCATTCCAAAATACATATGTTTCAATTGCATCCAATCCACCTTCTTTTGCTTTCTTTATCAAATCAGGCCACATCTACCAAAACCAAACAACATAACATTAAGTTTAAACAACAATAACCACCACCACCACAACAACAACAACGATAAAATCAGTGAAATCCCACAAGTGAGATCTAGGGAGGGCAGTATGTACGTAAACCTTACCCCTAGCCTAGGCAGAGGCTGATATAGAGTTGTAACACCGGGTTCAACTGAACCCAGTACTTCCGGCGCGAAGCAGAAATTTATGTATAAAAATTCACTAAAATTGTAACAAATAGTAGGTTTGAACCCATAATTTTAAACATACAATGGGTTCATGGCAAAAACTCTTCAGAATTGAACCTATAGAACTTAAATCATGTATCTGTATATCTGACCCTAGGAAGGTAAAGAGATTGTTTCCATAGACTCTCGGCTAAAGAAAAGATGTAACCAAGTTTAAACAAACTTCATAAATAAATAAAAAGTTATAAAGCAAAAACAAACATGCAATTATATATAATAGCAAAAACATATTAGAAAAAGCTAACGTAATGTAACAGTAAGAAGTTAAAGTTTTACTTGAGCAGTGCTCCTAGGGTAATGAATAGAGCCAGATAAAAGAACTCTTCTTTCACCATTAATGGTGATAGCTCGTCCGTCGTGAGAAACTTGATAAGAACGAATACAGCTAATAATTAAAAACAAAAAGAGGAAGAAAAAACAACTCTTGAATGAAGCCATAGCGGCAAAAGAAGTGATTTTGAGAAGAAAAACTAAACACTGATTTATGTGTTTTTAGACAGGTATATATAAGAGGTTAAGAAGTTAGAATCTCAGTTGAACTCAAATATCATTGAAAAACAATGTATATTAGAAAAGATTGGATTTTAAGAATCTCTTTTTATCCTTATCCTAGGTAAAAAAGATATTGCTACGTAGTCTAGATAAACGTAGAAAAACTTTGGTAGGTTTTTTCAAAATATTAAGCCAAATCGATTTTGGATAAGACAATTAAAGGAAATAAATATTACCAAACCTCTAAGTTGATTACCATGTATTCTTTATTACGTTCAAACGAGCAACTTTTAGGACTAATATGCAAATAATATTGTAACTGTATTCAGTGAATCCCTTTCACCTTCGACCCTTCACCTATTAGGACTCTAATTGCTCATTTTTGCAATATTATCTACTTTCTTGTACTTATCGCAAGTACTTTATACATAGAGAGAAATTAGGATTAACCTTATTTATAACTGTTAATTAAAAATTAGCTATAGTTTCAAAATCAGTTGAAATTTAATCACATTTCATGCGAAAATAAAATTTAGACAAAAAACCTTAGTTAAAATTCAAAAAAAATTCAGCATAATATGCTGGAATTAGATTATTTTTTTTTTACATATGAAATTTCAGAATAATGTGATGGGATTCATAATGTGCTGGAATTACAATGTAATATGCTAAAATTTTATACACATGAACATCATAATCAAGCATATTATGTTGGATTATTTTTGTGTTTTAGCTAGATATTTTTGTCCAGATTTTATCTAAATAGTAGCTATTTTTAAATTACTTTATAAATATTGATTATTTTTCAATTACCAATCCAAAAACTGATCAACTCACACTATTTTGACGGTGAAATTATACGATTCAAAATTGCGAACTCTGGGCTTAAGACGTTGAATGTGGTCATTGGGCTATTAGATCCAGTTCATTATCAGCCCATTACTACACTGTTGAACCCATGAAACTACATCCGGTGCCCATTTTGACAACTAATAGCCCATTAAGCTTTAAGTTTTTTTTATTTCCCCAAAAAAATAGAAACATATATACTTTTTAATTGTGCCGATAAAATATTTTTTGTATAAATGTATGTATTATATACATATAATATTTGCTTAATTTTTTGGCTAGCGAATGCAATTAGTTTTGACTGACCGGCTAAATTTATATTTTGCCCACAAAATTAAGTATTGTTTTACACAAATAGCCTGCAGGATTCACTGCTTACTTTTCTTAATCAGTATTAATAGATTATATAATGATTAGATATACTTACACATATATTATATATAAATTATTATTGTTAGTTTAAGTAATTGGGCTATTATTTAGATTAATTCTTCAAAAAGATCAATAGGAACTTCTTAATTGTCCCTGATGAATAAATTGAAACCAAATGGCCCCTTTTAGAGATAAGAATAAAAAAAAAGGTTATGTCATCAATTACCTTCTTTATAAGTGGAACCAGACTCTTTTTTTCTTTTACGAAGACCCACACTCTATTCGACAATGAAATGTCGAAATGACAAATATTATTTTTTTTAATTTTCTTAATAGAAACTCATTAAGATGGTTTTCACCCAACTAAAATGATGTTTATTAAATTGAATTGAAAATATGGCCAATATGATCGGGACATCAAAATATTTTCAATGGTGAAATCTTAGAAGAGATGACACCTATCTTTGGTATCAAAAACTCAAGTTGCTAATTTATATTATAAAACTTATGTATAGTAATTGAAAAAAATTCTTAAAATAATTGTTAGGAGATATTAAAATCTGGTCAATAAAGACTGTGAACTGAGAGTATATATTTTTAAAATGGCACATCTCTTTCGTAATTGAAGAAATTGTTGTGTGTCAACATCATTCCATCTTGACCTTTTAATTTCTTAACCAATTTATTTTTCTTTAAGAGGAGATTTAGAGCAATAGTAAATTTATCTTTGTGTGACTTATATGTCACGAGTTCGAGCCATCGAAACAGTCGCTAATACTAGCATTAGTGTAGACAGTCTACATCACACTCCGTGGGATGCGGCTCTTTCCTGGACCCTGCATGAATACGTGATACTTTATTCACTTAGCTGCCTTTTTTTAATTAAAATTCTTTTTTCTTTTCCTGTCCTGTTTCTTGGAAATTCAGGCGATATTATAATTGATACTCCCTTTGTATAACCAACTTATCAGTGAGTACCTAATAAAGTGAATTCTATTTCCATTATCCTTTTCTCCCTTTTGCTTCCCTTATCTCTTTTTTTAAAAAAATTAAATACTATGTCTCCTTCAAAAGAAATATAGGGTTTTGAAGTACAACATATATATTGAATGTATCAACATATTTTAAAAATGGACCAAACTTAAAATAAAAAATAGTGAAAATTTATAAAACAAAAACACCATTCCTATCTTGTTGGTTGCATTAGTGTTGGTTGCATTAGGGTAGAATGTCTACATCACACCCCTTGGAGTGTGATTATTCCCCGGACCCTGCATAAATTCGAGATGCTTTGTGTCCTGACCTGTCATTTTTTTATTAAATTAATTTTTCTTTTCCGATCTTGTTTCTTGGATAATCAGGTGATATTATAATTGGTACTCCTTTTTTATAACCAACTTATTAGTGAGAACCTGACAAGAGTGGGTTGCTCTAGTGGTGAGCACTCTCCACTTCCAACCAAGAGGTTGTGAGTTCGAGTCACCCCAAGAGCAAGGTGGGGAGTCCCTTGAAGGGAGGGAGCCGAGCATCTATCGGAAACAGCCTCTCTATCCCAGGGTAGAGGTAAGGTCTGCCTTCTGCGTACACACTACTCTCTTAAAATTCATTTTTCTTTTCCGATCTCGTTTCTTGGATAATCAGGTGATATTATAATTGGTACTCCCTTTTTATAACCAACTTATCAGTGAGAACCTCTCAATAAATGAATTCTATTTCCATTATCCTTTTCTCCTTTTCGCTTCCCTTATCTCCTTTTTAATAGATTTTTTAAAATTAAATACTCTTTCTGTTTCAAAAGAATTACAAATATATATTGAATGTATCAACATGTTATAGAAAAATGAACCAAAATTAAAAATACAAAAATAGTGAAGTTTTATAAAACAAAAATTTGTCAACAGCTAAACTCTCTTTCAATTTTATAAAGCGAATGTCGCAATCCATAGAGTAAGTTCACGTGGTTCTACGAAACCTCCCAAAAAATAGTATAAACACGTACGCAACGAACGAATGGCTCCAACTTGGGTACCGGGTGTCCTACGCAGCTGCTGTTTGAAGTAAATCAACGGCAGCTCTCTTTTCTTTCTTAGCTGGACATATTGCCCTTTTAAAACCAAATAATGATTTTTATTTTATTTTTTTATAATTGTGGTGTCTTGCTCATACCTAGACTAATTGCACAAAATACGTGGCACCTCCTACTAAAAACATATACCAGATAACCGTATTCATCAAAGCTTTGACAAATTAAAAAGAATTTTCCTAATATTTTTACCTCCGTTGGAATTTGAACTTGTGACCTTATGACCACTGAGCCACACCATTCCGTGCACCAAATTATGATATCCTGGTAAGCTCCATATAAAAGACAAGTGGAATAGATAAAGATAATAATATGTATGAAAATAAAAAAATTCAGTTTTATTATGTAGAACGTACTTCTTGCATTTCAATTTAGATGATAATCTTTTTGCTTAGAGGGCTCATTCGAAAATGTAGAGAAAGTAACTCTTCTTCATTCGTTCATTAATAGTAGCATATTACATTTTTATATGCAAAATTGTTTTCTTCATTAATTTTCTTTTTTTTCTTCCTGTTCTCTTAACAATTTTACCTCCTCTTTATCGCATTAGCATAGTCAAACTAATTTATAAATTTTGCAATGTAATATGGTATTTTCCGGCCCTAAGATGCATTTCTCGTCTTGCCTTTTATTAACTCACTCTAAGCCTTAAGTTAATACACTTTGAGGTCGTTTAGTAGGGTGTATAAAAATTGTACTGAATATGGTATATTAGTAATGCTAAAATTAGTTATGATGACATTATTTCTTATCGACTGTTGGTTTGATATATTATGATTTGGAAAAGGTTTTGAATGGGTAGTTCTGTCTTTATACATACTTTTCTATGTATTAAAAATTATGGTATTACTAATGACATGATTTGCTACGTATAAGAATAAAACTGAATATGGTGTATAATTAGTACAAGTATTAGTTATACATATATTGAAAAACACTATCAAACAAGGAGATAATAATACCAAAGCTAATACATATATTATTTTTTCTAATAAATCCTACCAAACGACCCTTTTATATGCTACATTAGCACATAAGGGGCTATAATTTCACTTTAAACTAGCTTAGAGGAGTCATATGTCTCCCGTAAAGTTTAAATGTACATAGCTGGACTAAGAGCCCGCTTGGATTGTCTTATTTTAAGTGTTTTTAGGCTAAAATAGTTTTTAAGTCATTTTATAGTGTTTAGATAATGTAAAAAAGTGCTTTTAAGCACTTGTTTTTAAGCTAAAATGATCCAAAAAATATTAAAATCCAAAAGCTAGAATTCATAACTTATGGTTTATGCTTAAAAGTCACTTAAAATAAGCCAATCCAAATGGACACTAAAGTCGTTTTGATAACTTGATTCATTTTTCGTTTTCATTGATTACCGTGAATTTTATTATTAAATCAAATATCTTTACTAGTAATTCATATTTTCTCTCTCACAATTAATTCAGTAATATGAATGAACTTCTTCAAAATTTCTTCCTCTCAAAAATCATTGAAATTTAACTTTTTGGATATGAATCTAGAATCGATTCCTACAGTTTATGTTAGTTATAAACATATCACTTATCTTATGTGATAAGCCTAGCAAGACACAACATATCGTAGTATCCTTCTTTCTTGTTTGTGAAGCCCTAATTAGACGTGTTTTAAACAATGCA